CGTCGTACTCAAAAATTGTAAATGTTGTGGATTCACTCTTCAACACACCCGTGGGCTAAAGTGGTGAATTATTTGTTTTTTGTCAACGTGACACATTTTTTACTGATTGGCCGTGTCGGCAGATCATTGTTATAATTCAGTAGGCTCACATGACATTGACTTTTCCAAGACAAAGGTTATTTGTAAGCTATCTGGCTACCATGAGAGATTCGTTCATGAGGCTATCCACATATACAAGCACAGAGACAATTTCAACCGAGAAGATGGATTCTGGCTTAGCAATCATTGGAAAGATTTGATAAGCCATTTCAGATCTTAATTGATTGTTCACGCTTACAGTGGCTTTCAGACAGCATACATTAAAATTTTTCGTCTCCCCCCTCCTCTTTTCAGAACATAGATGGACTAGTCCTTCTAAATAAACTGCCAAATCGCTGCGCGTGGCGCTGACGTTTTTATAAATAAATAAATACACCGTTTAAAAATAAATAAATTTATGCAAACCGACACACCTGATGACGACCGTTTGTGTTATGGTCGAAACGTCGTGAGACTTTTTATTGTTATATATATTTTATTATTTTATTGTTTCCCTTCAACGTGACTTTACCGAAAGAACTAAGAATATGAATTACTGCAGTCACGAAAGCTTTAAATAAAAAAAGATGAGTTTTGTTTAATATTATTCATGATGCGTCGTGTTCAATATTATCATTATACACACACACGTGTGTGGGAGGAAAACCGGAGCACCTGGAGAAACCCCACGCACGCGAGGGGGTAACGCTCTATCCCCCGTACAGACGGAAACAGATGGAGATTAGTCCACTCCTGCCTTCTCCTTGCACCCCAGGGTGCAGTGGCACCTCCGAGACGTCACGTGACGCTTGGGTGTCACAGCGTCCGCGTGCGAGCCCCCCCCCCCCCCGTAAACTCCGCCCACGGAAAGCGGTAGCAGCGTTGTTGTGACCTGCCAGTGTTGTTGTTGTTGTGACCTGCTAGTGTGGTTGTTGTTGTTGTGACCTGTCAGTGTTGTTGTTGTTACCTGCCAGTGTTGTTGTTGTGACCTGCTAGTGTTGTTGTTGTTGTTGTGACCTGCCAGTGTTGTTGTTGTGACCTGTCAGTGTTGTTGTTGTTGTGACCTGCCAGTGTTGTTGTTGTTGTTGTTGTGACCTGCCAGTGTTGTTGTTGTGACCTGCCAGTGTTATTGTTGTTGTGACCTCCCAGTTGTTGTTGTGACCTGTCAGTGTGGTTGTTGTTGTGACCTGCCAGTGTTGTTGTTGTTGTTGTGACCTGCCAGTTATGTTGTTGTTACCTGTCAGTGTTGTTGTTGTTGTGACCTGCCAGTGTTGTTGTTGTTGTGACCTGCCAGTGTTGTTGTTGTGACCTGCCAGTGTTGTTGTTGTTGTGACCTGTCAGTGTTGTTGTTGTTGTGACCTGCCAGTGTTGTTGTTGTTGTGACCTGTCAGTGTTGTTGTTGTGACCTGCCAGTGTTGTTGTTGTTGTTGTGACCTGCCAGTGTTGTTGTTGTTGTGACCTGCCAGTGTTGTTGTTGTTGTGACCTGCTAGTGTGGTTGTTGTTGTATGTTGTTGTGACCTGCCAGTGTTGTTGTTGTTGTGACCTGCCAGTGTTGTTGTTGTTGTTGTGACCTGCCAGTGTTGTTGTTGTGACCTGCCAGTGTTGTTGTTGTTGTTGTGACCTGCCAGTGTTGTTGTTGTGACCTGTCAGTGTTGTTGTTGTTGTGACCTGTCAGTGTTGTTGTTGTTGTTGTGACCTGTCAGTGTTGTTGTTGTTGTGACCTGTCAGTGTTGTTGTTGTTGTTGTGACCTGTTAGTGTTGTTGTTGTGACCTGTTAGTGTTGTTGTTGTTGTGACCTGCTAGTGTTGTTGTTGTTGTTGTGACCTGCTAGTGTTGTTGTTGTTGTGACCTGTCAGTGTTGTTGTTGTTGTTGTTGTGACCTGTTAGTGTTGTTGTTGTGACCTGTTAGTGTTGTTGTTGTTGTGACCTGTTAGTGTTGTTGTTGTTGTGACCTGCCAGTGTTGTTGTTGTTGTGACCTGTTAGTGTTGTTGTTGTTGTGACCTGTTAGTGTTGTTGTTGTTGTGACCTGTTAGTGTTGTTGTTGTGACCTGTTAGTGTTGTTGTTGTTGTTGTGACCTGTTAGTGTTGTTGTTGTGACCTGCCAGTGTTGTTGTTGTGACCTGTCAGTGTTGTTGTTGTTGTGACCTGCCAGTGTTGTTGTTGTTGTTGTTGTGACCTGCTAGTGTTGTTGTTGTTGTTGTGACCTGCCAGTGTTGTTGTTGTGACCTGTCAGTGTTGTTGTTGTTGTGACCTGTCAGTGTTGTTGTTGTGACCTGCCAGTGTTGTTGTTGTTGTGACCTGCTAGTGTTGTTGTTGTGACCTGCCAGTGTTGTTGTTGTTGTGACCTGTCAGTGTTGTTGTTGTTGTTGTGACCTGCCAGTGTTGTTGTTGTGACCTGCCAGTGTTGTTGTTGTTGTGACCTGTCAGTGTTGTTGTTGTTGTTGTTGTGACCTGCCAGTGTTGTTGTTGTGACCTGCCAGTGTTGTTGTTGTTGTTGTTGTGACCTGCTAGTTTGGTTGTTGTTGTGACCTGTCAGTGTTGTTGTTGTGACCTGCCAGTGTTGTTGTTGTGACCTGCCAGTGTTGTTGTTGTGTCCTGTTAGTGTGGTTGTTGTTGTTGTGACCTGCCAGTGTTGTTGTTGTGACCTGCCAGTGTTGTTGTTGTTGTTGTGTCCTGTTAGTGTGGTTGTTGTTGTTGTTGTGACCTGCCAGTGTTGTTGTTGTTGTTGTGACCTGTCAGTGTTGTTGTTGTGATCTGCCAGTGTTGTTGTTGTGATCTGCCAGTGTTGTTGTTGTTGTTGTGACCTGCCAGTGGTGTTGTTGTTGTTGTGACCTGTCAGTGTGGTTGTTGTGACCTGCCAGTGTTGTTGTTGTTGTTGTGACCTGTCAGTGTTGTTGTGACCTGCCAGTGTTGTTGTTGTTGTGACCTGTCAGTGTTGTTGTTGTTGTTGTGTGCGGATGAGACGAACACACTCCGTCTGGTAGAACACCGAGATTACGGTGATTCCGTGGCGATCCAATGACGCACGCAAAAAAAATCCTCGTCCATCCGTTTTGTTGTTGTTACGATTCTCGATAAAAGGTTGCGTCGATGTAAGACACACATCGTCGACGTCACACACACATCGTCGACGTCAGACACACATCGTCGACGTCACACACACATCGTCGACGTAAGACACACATCGTCGACGTCACACACACATCGTCGACGTCAGACACACATCGTCGACGTCACACACACATCGTCGACGTCACACACACATCGTCGACGTCAGACACACATCGTCGACGTCACACACACATCGTCGACGTCAGACACACATCGTCGACGTAAGACACACATCGTCGATGTCAGACACACATCGTCGACGTCACACACACATCGTCGACGTCACACACACATCGTCGACGTCAGACCCACATCGTGGCAGGATTGTCAGGTGGCACTCGCTGCTGCGTCAATGACGAACACCACGTGGTGCGCGCGTGGACGAGGCCGTGACGAATTGGCAGCGCTCGGATTCCTGTTCGGACTTCGTCGTCTCTGTCATCGGGGGCAGACGTCAGGGATGACCCAACACAGACGATCCCTGGGTTCGATCTTCCACGAAGCTCGTGGTCCACCCTAAACGGCATCCACTGCACAAACCACGGCAGTAGTAGATGCGGACACCACGTTGGGATGCTGCACGGATGGAAAATAAAATAAATAAAAAATCCCTCCGGTAGCAGTGTGCGTAACTTTGGCCACCCAGAACAGACCGCAGTACAACGTGTGACGCCCCAATGCACCGATCCACAACACACGAAGGAGACGTCACAGCGATTCAACTCCGCTGCTCCTGACGCGGTTGTCTGGGCTCGACCTACCCCAATGTGAAATTGTGGTCGTCCTTGATCTGCATCGACATCAGCAGCCATGGAACCACGCGAGCAAGGCCCTCAACAGGCTGCAGAATGTTCAAAATGCGGCGGCCAGGGTGCTGTCTGGAATACCCTTCAAGGATCACGTCACATCTCTGTCTGCTGCTGTACCTTCACTGGCTCCCTGTCCGTGCCCCGTATTGATTTTAAGATTCTCTTGCTGGTATTCGAGGCCGCGCGTGGACTTGCCCCTCCCGACGTTCGTGACCTCCTTCAGCCACGAATATTCCATCATGATCATGAAGAGTCCCAGATTGCACGTTGCTCGCTGTCACCACGGTCTCTCGGCTTCACACTGCCTTGGCCTTCGCGGCAACTACACTCTGTTGTGACTTCCGATTCACTTGCAAATCTTCAAATCTCGACGAGAAACGTCTCCGTTTAAAACGGCGTTCTCTCTCCTCATTCCCAAACGTCTTTCTCACTTCTTCTCTCCTTGGTTAATGTTTCACCATTTCCGCCGTGTCCATGCACAGCGCCCTGAGAACGATTGCTCCAGGGCTGCTTTTATACATTTACATTAGTATTATTATACGAAAGAAGGAGAGATCGCAGCCAGATTTTGTCAGTGGTTGCTGCCAGAATGAAGGGGGGCGTCATTATTGCTGAGTACCAAACGGACCGGGCGTGCGACAACTCCCGGGCCAAATTCCGTCTCTTGCCACGCCGCCGACAGCCCCGCAGCAATCGCCACGGCCCCCGCCGGGCCCCACTCATCAGCACCAAAGATAAAGATCCCCCCCATAGCCTCCTTACTATCAGACAATTGGGGCAAGTGCTGAAAGCGAACACGTGTGCATATACCGGCACCGCGCCCGGCCGCCTCTGTCGCCGCGGTAGGCGATGTCTAGGCTGAGTCGACCTAGGGGAGACCCAGGACCGTTTCAGATAATCGTCACTGATGTTGGCCGTGAGCGGGGATCGAACTCGGGTCGCCGGGTTCGTAGCGCAGCGCGCTCCGCTCCTGCTCCCCACACCCCACACCACCACCACCACCATGCGCTCTCTCTTAACCCCACCCATCCTGGCAACACCCAGCCTCGACTGAAGAAATCCAGAGCCCATCCCAGTGGCTGTGAGCTGTTCGGAGCGCGCAGTCTCATCGCGGGGTAGGAGGGGACTGGCGAGAGAGCGAGCGAGAGAGACGCAGAGAGAGAGAGAGCGAGCTACAGCAGACTCATCGGGACAGGCACAGAGATACATTCGTGTCCACAGAGCCAGTGATACACGACACAGACGGCGAGAGAGACGGCGAGACAGGGCCACGCAGAGACGCAGTGAGACAGAGCAATGGGAAGCCCACGCCGAGGCCGCGAGGTGAGGGAGGTGAGGCAGGTTAGGGGAGAGGTGAGATCCTCGTCTCCGCTCAGCCCCGCGCGCATCACCCGGGCCCAGGAGAAGGAGGAACTCAGCAACCTCAACGACCGCCTGGCGGTCTACATCGACAAGGTGCGAGGCGGAGGACGCGCGCGCGCACACACGCGTACACACACACGCGGACACACACACGCGGACACACACACACGCGTGCACACACACACGCGGACACACACACACGCGGACACACACACGCGTGCACACACACACGCGGACACACACACACGCGGACACACACACACACGCGTGCACACACACACACGCGGACACACACACACACGCGGACACACACGCGTACACACACACGCGGACACACACGCGTACACACACATTCGTGCGTGTGTACGTATACGCACGGGGTACTGATGGACCCTTGCGTACGTGTACACGTGTACACGCGAGCACTCGTGCGCACGCGCGGATGCACGCGCCTGTACGCATACACACGGCTAGACACGGATGCGCGTGCGTGCGTGTTTGTTTGTGCGCGCGCGTGTGTGTACGTTCACGTGCGAGCAGCGTTCAGTCGTCATACGCGGATACACGCGGATAGACTAACGCACAAATGCGCACGTGTCTATACGTGTGCGTGTACATACGGTCACGACAGCCCCCCCCCACACACACACTAGAGCACGCGTGAATATCCGCTGAGAGATGCACAAAGTCACACCCGTGGAGACTGTTGGGGCCGGTGCCATTAGCGAACATTTAATTGACGCAAAGGGGCGGTGTTGGGGCTAGGGCTGAAGGATTAATCGATTTAAAATCGAAATCGCAATTTGAATACAATGCGATTAGCAAATCGCAAAGGCTGCGATTTTTTGCGATTTGAAAAGTCCTATTACTTTCATATTGGAATTGTTTTCTTTTTTATTATAAATTTATTTAACTTAACAATTGTTCTATGTTTGATTGTTCTATGTCAATTAAAACATTTTAATAAGTACATGTTGGAAGCAATTCATATATTTTAAGTTCTCATCCTTGCATTGGAATATATAGAGCAGTTCATATGTTGATGGTATCACGTGGTAATGCTCCATCACATGTTGTAAATCTATTACACAGTGAATATTGAACTGAAGCTTGACTTAATTTTTTATCGCAAATCAAATCGCAATGTCTGTCAGAAAAATCGCAATTCGATATTTCCCCCAAATCGTTCAGTTGGGGCCAGCACTACGCCCGACCGCCTTTGTCTCCCCACTGGTGACATTTACACACCGCGCCAGGTACTCGTTTGAGGCTGAGTCGACCTAGGGGAGGCCCAGGACCGGTTCAGATAATCGCCACTGGTGTTGGCCGCGTGAGCGTGAATCGAACTCGGGTGGCCGGGTTCGTAGCGCGGCGTAGCGCTAACAGCTACACTCCGTACAACATGTGCGGTGGACACAAACGAGCATCATCCATACATACAGTGAACTGGACTTTCCACTTGGGACACAGATGGGGCGGTTCGTGTGCCCCCCACCCGAACTGGGCTGAGCCCAGGTTCCCGCGAGCATTCGTTTCAACCATTTATTGCCCCCACTGTTTACGATCGATTTGAATTCTCCCTCGAATTTTAAACATTTGCAACCGCTGATGATGGCCCCGTTCCGCTCCGAGATCGTCACCGATCTTGTACACGTGTGCGTTCTCCCCCAACCCCTCCACAACGTATCCGATTGGCGCGGTTGGCTGCGTACGGTGCGAAAGAAGTTCAACATTCATTAACATCGTGCTGGATTGCTACTGTCGCCATATATCCCTCTTTACTGTGTAATGTTTACGAAGTTTATTTTTTGTAGTCATTTGTGCCTCGTTCAATCCGGAGGTGATTTGCCTCCAACGGATTTGCACATCTGCGAATTCTGTTGCCAATATTTTCATGTGACACACGGACCGTGGTTGTTTTCAGATGTTGCGGTGATTATATTATTCCTTTCGTTTTCTTGGTGAGTTAGGTAACTTGCAGATGAGACTTTTGTATTCCTGATCTCTTCACTTCTCTCGCCTGGTTAAACAAAATGAACATCGGGGCGCCACGGTGGCGATATGTTAACTACCTCGCCTGGTATACAGGAGGTCGTGGGGGTCTATCCCGACTCTGACGCCTGCTGCTGTATATTTGGAGTTGGCGTGTCTCTCTCTCTCTACCCGTGGTCGTGTGGATTTTATTCTGGGTCCTCCGGTTCTTTCCTCCACACGATAAGCCATTTCGGCGAGCTATCATTGGTGGCCAGGTCACTTGTGAAAAAAGAGCTGTATTATAGCTCAGTGGGCCTGGTAAAACAAAATATATATAGTTTTATATTGGCGCTCGCCTCCTGTTGGCAGCCCACGGAAGCCAGTGGTGGAAAATTCCACATTTGAATCCCCAACGTTTCTCTCCATAGGTCAGCCACTGATGACCTCTGATGGCGTCGAGTATCAACCCCCAACCAGGATTTTAACTCCGAACCTTGTGATTGCGAGCCGTGCCCGCCAACGTTGAGTCGACTTGCTTGGAGTTGATTTGAAGTTTTCGTGACTGCAGGAATCCATGCTATTTGGTTCTTTCCGTAAAGTCACGTGGGTAGAAAAAATAATATTAGATCACGACGTTTCGCTTCAGCAGTTTTTTCTTGCTGTGGTTGTCTCACCTGATGACGATTGCTTGTGTTGCGATGGAAACGTCGTGATCGCTTATTTTTTTTACCTACGTGACTTTACCGAAAGAACCAAAGAGTATTGCTTGGAGTTTCGTATTTTAAAGGTTTCGGTGAATGCTAAATACGTATCGAATGTCAGGGCTATATCGTGTGCATCATCCATATACCTCTAGTGGTGAGTGATAACCGACACCAGTCTTGGGCCTCCCCTAGATCGACTTAGCCTTAAATGAGTGCTGTACCCGGTGCGACGTGTAATCACCACCCCGACAGTGGAGAGACAAATGTGGTCGGGCGTGGTGCCGTGCCACACTGCATCCACGTGTGCCGTGCCGATATCAATAACAGCACTTGCCCCAACAATATGTGCAGGCTATACGGGGCATCTGTATATGTTTACGATCAGTTTACAAAGAACCTTCTTTCCCCTCCCCCCCCTCCCCACCACCCGTAACTACGCTCGTTGGTTTTAATTGCCGATATCTATTTAATTTTCCGAATACTGCTGCCGCTGGTAGAATTCCATCGCGATCAATGCGCACGTGGAGTCCCATTCATCGTTTGAGGCAATAGGCACGTTAGCAAGGGGCGTGAGATGGCATTGAAGCATGGATAACTTCGCTGCAGGGGAAGGCTGTGTGAGTGAGGATGTGTGATTAGTGGCATAGAGGGGGCCTTTATTTATGTCCATTGATAAAGAGCTCATTGAAACCACGAGACCCCCATCCCACCCCCTTGCAAGGGAGACCGAAATTGAATGAGGTACGACGCAGTGACCTTCACAGTACTTAAAAAAGCCTGGTGACCCGATAGTCTTGCATACCTACAGAGGGACCCATAGACTGACATCGCGACTATATGCTTATGTAGAAATACAGAGACCCATAGACTTACATAGCGACTATATGCTTATGTAGAAATACAGAGACCCATAGACTTGCATAGCGACTATATGCTTATGTAGAAATACAGAGACCCATAGACTTGCATAGCGACTATATGCTAATGTAGAAATACAGAGACCCTGAGACTTGCATAGCGACTATATGCTAATGTAGAAATACAGAGACCCTGAGACTTGCATAGCGACTATATGCTAATGTAGAAATACAGAGACCCTGAGACTTGCATAGCGACTATATGCTTATGTAGAATTACACAGAGACCCATAGACTGACATCGCGACTATATGCTTATGTAGACATACATAGAGACCCATAGACTTGCATAGCGACTATATGCTTATGTAGAATTACATTGAGACCCATAGACTTGCATAGCGACTATATGCTTATGTAGAATTACACAGAGACCCATAGACTTGCATAGCGACTATATGCTTATGTAGAATTACACAGAGACCCATAGACTTGCATAGTGACTATATGTTTATGTAGAATTACACAGAGACCCATAGACTTGCATAGCGACTATATGCTTATGTAGAATTACACAGAGACCCATAGACTTGCATAGCGACTATATGCTTACGTAGAATTACACAGAGACCCCTAGACTGACATAGCGACTATATGCTTATGTAGAATTACATAGAGACCCATAGCCTTGCATAGCGACTATATGCTTATGTCCTCTTACCGGGTATGGCAAGCAGGGCCGTCCATACGGGGCTGCAGGTCCTCCGTCGCCTTCAAACGAAACCTGGAGTATTAACGTCTGACACCGTGACGTCGAAGCGCGGGGCCCCCCAAAGCACGGGGCCCAGGGCGGTCGCCCAGATTCGCCGTACTCTAGGGACGGCTCTGACAAGTGTGTGTGTGTAAATGGTACATGCAGGTGTAAGTGTGTGTGTGAATGGTACATGCAGGTGTAAGTGTGTGTGTGAATGGTACATGCAGGTGTAAGTGTGTGTGTGTGTAAATGGTACATGCAGGTGTAAGTGTGTGTGTGAATGGTACATGCAGGTGTAAGTGTGTGTGTGATATACATGCAGGTGCAAGAGTGTGTGTGGGGAGCGGTAGTGTAGCGGTTTAGCACGCTGCGCTATGAACCTGGCCACCCAGGTTCGATTCCCGCTCACGGCCAACACCAGTGACGATTATCTGAACCGGTCCCGGGGCTCCCCTAGGTCGACTTAGCTTCAAATCAGTACCTGGTGCGGTATGTAAACATTGCCACTAGGGAGACAAAGGCGGTCAGGCGTGGTGCTGGCCACCCACCCCCTCGTGTACCGTTCCGGCCTTCATAGGTGCTCGCTAACAGCACTTGCCCCTACAGTCTGTTAAGGCTATATGGGGGATCTTTGTCTTTTGTGTGTGGTACTTGCAGGTGTAAGTTTGTGTGTGAATGGTACATGCAGGTGAAAGTGTGTGTGTGAATTGTACATGCAGGTGTACGTGTGTGTGTGAATGGTACATGCAGGTGTACGTGTGTGTGTGAATGGTACATGCAGGTGTAAGTGTGTGTGTATGTGAA